TGAGCCCTGCTTCCCCATGAGGTGGCAGGGTTTTGCTGTGTTCAGGGCCCCGATCTGCCTGCTTTCCTCCACCTCAACCAGACCCCTAAAGCAGTGGCTGCCATCAACGTGCTTTGTGGAATGACACAACACCTTGGCGATCCACTACGCTGGTTTTAAGAATTACATCTATAACTATCTACATCAGAGAGAGGGAGAGACAGAGAGAGAGGAAGAAGGAGGAGGAGAAAGAAGGGATGGAGGAGGGGGAGGGAGGGAGTGGAGGAAGAGGAGGGGGTGTAGGAGGAGGAGGGTGGAGGAGGAGGGGGGTGGAGGAGGAAAGAGAATAGACAAAGGAAAATACGAATTTTACATCCTAGCTCTTCTTACCAAATACTGGAAAACCAAAATGAACAAAAAATGGTCCCTTTCTTCAGAATAATAAAAGCCAAGGAGGAAGAAAAATGTGTAGAAGACAAATATGGTGATCGGGTTTCCTATTAATGTGTGCTTTGATGAGAGATGTTAACGGGCCATAGGAAATAACGTGGCAGGTTCTGTCTGGTGGCATCAGGAGAGGCTTCAAAGAGAAAGCAAAAGCATAAGATGAAACTCAAATAATGCATGAGATTTCACCAGGTGGACAAGCAGTGATACAGCTTAAGGAACTAGCAGGAAGGAGTGATGAGATAAAATCAGGAATGAAGACGGTCACCTCTGTCCCCGGAATATGACGACAGGAGACAATTTGGAAGAATGAGTGGAGCGAGATTATTGAATTCAATTGAGTTTCTGGTTCTAGTGGACCTTCCTTGGATATCTGCATTGAAATACCTAGTAGGGGAGTGCCTGGCTGGCTCAGTCAGAAGAGTGTGGGACTCTTGATCTTGGGTCATGAGTTCAAGCCCCGCGCTGAGTATAGAGATTACTAAAACTAAATAAATAAAAACTGAAAGAAAAGAAAAGGAACACTCAGTAGGATTGCTTGGTGCTTAAGAGAGAGAGTTGGGCTTGAGAGAAACATTTGCATGATTAATCAGCAGACAAAGGATCAGTATTATTTTACAAATGCTCATTTTTCTGTATGGTTTCTCCCTCTGTGGTCTGACACCTATCTATCAAATTAAGGCAAGTGGTGTTAATTCTTGGGATTTCATTTGTTTGAAAATATGTATTTGCAGAAATGAATGACTGTCTATATTATTCAGACTATCTCTCCCACTGCATACACACAAAAATGCTGAATTAAATGTATTCTTAAATATTCTTGGAAGCATTTAAGAACCTCAGCCTATTCTCCTGTATGACCCTGTGTTTCCCAGGACAAGCAATTCTTGGGAAAATATGGGGAGTCCCCAACCATTACATATAAGCCCGGGCTTCCTGCATTTTATTTGGATTCCTTTCCAAATTGTTAGCTTTGGATTTCTTCTCCCATGTATTGCATGGAAGCTTGACTCACACAGAGACCAAAGGACTGAGTAACAGAAATGAGCAAGAGACACTAATCTACAGCCCTGAAATGTGGTATGATGAGCACTAGCCCTCACTGCCACCAATGTCATCTGACAATAGTAAAGAACCCATTAGGAATGGGATGGATCTAAGATGCTTTACTTTGTCCAGACCATGTTCATTGATACCTACAGATCAAATGTTTCCTAAGCCAGCCAATAGTCATGGGCCAGTGGGAGACACAGCCCCAAGAGTTTTCTGCTCCCTGGGTACAAGCCATATTCCAGAGATAATGGGATGGGGTGAGGCTATCCGCCCAGGAAGAGGGAGGAAATTAAGGAAGCACAGTAAGAGACAGACAATTTCATTTTTCTTTATTATCTTGGACATAAATTGAAGGGATACAGATTTCCTTTCAGTTGACGAATTTAAAAACAAAGAAAATGGACTTTACATGATTTTTTAAACATCCATTCTAAAAAATATTGAGTCATTTACTTTTTCAGAGTGGGCTTAATATTAGGAAGGACTTTTTAGCTGTGAAATTCATAATAACCTCCACTCTCATGACCAAGTTATAAAAAGTAATTGTATGAAATGAAAGTACGAAAAGTCAAAATATCACCAAATCTTCCCTTAGCAAGCTTTGAGGAGCCATTCTAGCTATTAATGAGGAAAAGCAATTTATAGAAAAATATTGTCAAAGAGCTATAATATTTCTTGGCTACAGTAAAAATAATTTCTGAATTCAAAATTACACTGGAAGCAATCAGTAGTAAATTAGACAAGTCAGAAAACCAATTTGCTAATCGTATGCAAACTCAGGGAATATTCCAGGATTCTGAGGAAATAGAAAAAGATGTGTGAGAAAAATAATCTCAAAACAACTTTATTCATGATGGCCTCAAAAGGGAAAATGCCAAATGTCCATCAACAATACAATAGACAAATAGCATTATATTTATATAATAGAATAAAATATAGCAAAAAATCAAATATTATTTGCAAAATTATGGTGAATCCCATAGACGTGTTATTGAATAGAGAAGCCAGACACAAGGGGACATACTGTATGAAGTTAGAGCAGTGACTGCATGTGCAGGTATTTTTAATTTACTTGGAGGGAGTAGGAGAGAGATTTCTGGCGTTCTGATAATGTCCTCTGTCTTGATCTGGGTGTTGGTTACCTGCCTAAGTGCATTCATTTGTGAAAATTCGCTCAGCTGTACACTTAAGATTTGTGTGGTCTATTATGTGTATTTTATATTTCCCTTTAAAAGCTTAGAAAAACAACTACCACCACCACCATCCCAAAATACAATGACTAAAAATAAAAATGTATTCTCTCTCATGGTTCTGTGGGTTGAATGGGCAGTTAGTAGGCAGTTCCTGCTTGGGGTCTCTCATGTAATGACAGACAGGTAGTCGCCAAACCTGGAGATATCTGAAGGTTCAACTGGGCTGGACATCCCAGGTGACTTCTTTATACATGTATCTGATGCCTCACCTGGGATGACCGGCACATCTGCAGACCAGCCCCGCATGTCCTTCTCCACATAACCCTTCCATGTGGTTAGGTGGGTTTCCTCGCAGCATGGTGGCCTCAGAATAGTTCAAATTATTATATACTGGCTTGCTTCCCCAAGAGTCAGCATTCAAGAGACCCAGCTGGAATGTGCAAGGCCACATATGAAAATCATACAGTGCCCGTTCCATCACATTCAAGTCAGCCCCGATCCTTGTAGGACTGTGAATGCTAGGAAGTATGGTGATTCATCCAGGTGCCATCTCTGAGGAGTAGCTACCATTATATAATAAATTGGTGCTACTGATCTCATCCCTCACCTCCTTAGACCAATGATGACTTCAGAGCAGAATGACATCTGTTTCATGTGCAAAATTTTTCTTGAGATCAATTCTAATCGAGAGCTATATACCACAAAGAAAGTTCTAAGAAATGTAATTCTTCCTTAGTTGACAATGAATATGAAACACTGTAGGTGGATATATAATGTGTGTGTGTGTGTGTGTGTGTGTGTGTGTGTATACATAAAATGGCTGGTTGTCTGCAGAAAAAGTAGAAAGACTTTCTTCTGATCCAGGAACTGCCAGACACTTCATCCCATATACGTCATCATGTTGTGGAGAAGTGATATGTTGCAGGCACATTCACCTACTCTTGGCAGAGGAAAAATAGAGTTGTGGTGGGAAGTGACCTTGTCATAACGTGGTCTTCCCCCACCATGAAAAAAATACAGTCACAGGAACATATCAGATGCGCTTGGATATACATATCTGTATTGTGCATATGGTAATATTTAGTACACAATATTATATTTGCTATGATAAAAATCTATGTCACTATAGTACAAACATAATTTGATGGATCAGGTCCAATCTCGCCTTGCTGCGATACTCACTCCAGACAGAAAGAACTAAATACGAATGAAGCACAACAGGGAGGTTGTTGTAAAAATGAAGTATAATGCTTTGGAGAAAACTCTTCAGCCTCTTTGAAACTGCTATACATTTCTGAGCGTGAGCCATTTAAATAAATATTCCAGCATGTTCAAAGTTAAATAATCCCCCAAATCTCCTAGAACTTATTGCCACTGGCCAGTACTTGGCTTATGACCTCTATCTTGGTGATAGAGCTCCTAGCTTCCACAGTGACTCACGCAGAGATATACAGACTATGATAAATAGCTATGCTTAGTATTAAGTCCATCAAGATGAGGGAGACTGGCATGAGATAGTCACGAAATACATATTTCATTTAGAAGATGAGACATCGTCTTTATCAGTATGAAGACACATTGAACTTAGAGCCTAGGATTTCTTAGGTTCACATGCTCCCAACTCATAACTTGTCTTAGTTACTCTGATACACGTTACAGAAGTAAAGGACTGGCTATAATTCCATTGGCTACACAAGTATATAAACTTTTTCTTGAATAAAGCTAAGAAACTTGTTTAAATCATTTCAATGATCTGGGTCTTAGTGCATGTTCTATAGGGTTAAGAGTAGAATTAGAGGTATCATGCTTAGCGATATAAGTCAATCCGAGAAAGACAACTATCATATGATCTCCCTGATATGAGGGAGAGGAGATGCAACATGGGGGTTAAGGGGATAGGAGAAGAGTAAATGAAACAAGATGGGATTGGGAGGGAGACAAACCATAAGTGACTCTTAATCTCACAAAACAAACTGAGGGTTGATGGGGTGAGGGGGGTTGGTGCGGGGGCTGGGGTTATGGACATTGGGGAGGGTATGTGCTATGGTGAGTGCTGTGAAGTGTGTAAACCTGGCGATTCACAGACCTGTACCCCTGGGGATAAAAATATATTATATGTTTATAAAAAATAAAATTTAAAAAAATTTAAAAAAAAAGAGTAGAATTAGAACCTCTGAGGCCCTTTTCGGTCCAGTATCTATGGCTCTTTGATAAACAGTGATGATTCCGCACCACTGGCCAAAAATATCACCACCAGGGGGCGGTCGGGAGCACCGTCAGGATTACGTAAGTCGTGGTCGGTCTTCCCAGCCCCGGCTAAGGGCAGAAGGAAGAGCGGGATCCTGAGCGAGGCGCGGTAGGAGGCCAACACCTGACATGCTGCTGCTCCTGCTGCTCCTGGGGCCCAGTATGAACCGTGTTATCTGAGGAGTTGGGGCGTGTGTGTGTGTGCATTGGCTTGCATGGAGTGGGGGCCGGAGGCTGTGGATTTTTTTGTGCTGCCCACAATGAGGAGGGACGTGCTCGCTCTCTGGAGGTCCGAAGGGTAGGGTGAGGCGTCCCCAGTCAGGGCAGATGCGGGGTTACGGCCGGAGGGCATCTAGCAGGGAGATTTCACGGAGCAGCAGGGATCCCTGGGAGCTGGGCGGAAGGCAAGGGCGTGTGTCAGTTGGCCTCCTGGGGTGGCGTCCGAGGGTCTTCTGGCCTAGGTCACCGCCTTGACCTCTGTTTTGGCAGGCTCCGGGCTGGGTGCTCGGGTCTCCCAGGATCCAAGCACCGCGATCTGCAAGAGCGGCGCCTCCGTGCAGATCGAGTGCCGAGCGGTGGACTTGCAGGCCCAGACCGTGTTTTGGTATCGTCAGCTCCCGAAGCAGGGCCTCACGCTGATGGCGACTTCAAACGTGGGCTCCAGCACCACGCACGAGCCAGATTTCCCCGAGGCCAAGTTTCCTATTAGCCATCCAAACCTCACATTTTTCTCTCTGACGGTGACGAGTGCGAGTCCTGAGGACAGCAGCCTCTACCTCTGCAGGGCCTAGTGGCACAGCGCTGGGCCCGGATCCGAGACCCAGACAAGAACCTGGAAACAGCCCCCTCGGCCCCACCTTACCCAACCCTCGGAGCCCCGTGGAGGGAGGTGTGGGGAGAGAAAAACCACAGACTGAGACATCTGTGTGTGTGTGTGAGAGAGAGAGAGAAAGAGAACACCTGAATACAGAGTGTGGAAGAGGTAGAGTGTTTGAAAACCAGTAAGATGGTAATGGAGGGGGCCCTAGGAAGTGGCAAACTGACATGAAAATATCATGATAAATTATAAATTCTAGTTTTTTTCCTGACTGCCCAACACACACACCTAGGTCATGGGGAGAATTCCACAGGTTCCTAGGAAGTCAGGTCCTTTAAGTCCCCCATATGCTTGGATATGCCCATTCTGCGTGTCATTTCTTACCTCACACGGGAGAAATCTGCAAAGGCTGTGAGTCCACTGGAACTGTAATTCAGTGTTGCACAAAAGTAATTTTCAAGACTAGCTTACAGGAGTCTCAACCCGGTTGCCATGGTACCTACCCAAACTCAGGCAGCCATGGTGAGTGTTGGCTTGGTGCCATCACAACCTCCTACCCCTGCAGAAGTTTTTCCATTCTAGAATATGGAAATCCATCTGACTACTTCGGACTGACCAACAGTCAATTTAAAATACTCTCTAAAATCTGAGTGCCTCGACTCTCTGGTACTGTTTTTCAAAATCAATTAAGTTTCTCTTGTTTTCTCTAACAAAAATGGATTCTGGCTAATTTAGGTGACTCTTGATCAAATATTCCCTTGAGAATTTGAAGCCCCTGATATTATGTATTTAATGATTATCCTCCTTTTAAGAAAAGGTATAAGAGAGGCGCCTAGGTGGCTCAGCAGGTTAAAGCGTCTGCCTTCAGCTCAGGTCATGATCCCACGAGCCCCGCATCGGGCTCTCTGCTCCGCGGGGAGCCTGCTTTACCTCTCTCTCTGCCTGCCTCTCTGCCTACTTTTGATCTCTGTCAAATAAATAAATAAAAATCTTTTTTAAAAAATAATAATAATAAAAGAGAAGATATAAGAAAAAACATTGAGTATTATTCCTAAATACCTTATATCAAGATCCGTGTGTCCTTTTAACCAGAGATGTTATTTTCTCCTTATAACAAAATATAGGACAAAAAATGTTTTACAAGATCCTTTGAAAGATCTCAATCCAAATTATTTTTTGAGGGAATGATTTGTAGTCCCATGAAAGAACAGAGTCATAAAATAAAACCACTTCAAATAACTAATGACATTATGATTAGATGCCATCTTTGTCATTTTTCCTTGCTCCAGAAATGTTCATGAAAACAATCAAAGTAACATCTACCTTTGAAGCAGGTACTTGATTGTGAGTAAACCCTCTGGGTTCACTATCCTCAAAGAGGTGGAGGTAGAGATGGCTCAGGCTTTTGAAATATTCCCTCTTACAAGCAGAGGGCTGAAGCCAGGAGAAGCTACAAGTGAATGTTACTATGTCTTCATTAGAAGCTGAAAAGTCAGTAGAAAATCTCTTAGGCAGTTTTAAGTTTCTTAGTGGCATAAAACTTCCAATTCACTGTTTAAAAGGAAAGCAAACATTTTATTCTGATGTAGTCCCACTTGTTTATTTTCGTTTTTGTTATCAGTGCTTTATTGTTTCAGGTCTTTTTAAGTTTTGATTAATTTTAAGTTGAGTTTCATGAATGGCACAAGATGGCGTCCATATTCATTCATTTGCATGTGGCTCTCCAGTTTTCCCAACACCATTTATTGGAGAGACTGGCCTTTCCCCTTGAGGCACCCTTCTGGAAGGTCAGTTAACCATGTATACCTGGGTTTATTTCTGGGTTCTCTATTCTGTTCCACTGGTCTATATGTCTATGTTTATGCTGGTACCATACTCTTTAATTATTGTAGCTTTGTATGGAATTGGAGAAAGTATTTGCAAACCACATACCTAATAAGATGTTAATATCTAAAAATATATAAGAAACTCACACAACTCAATACCAAGTAGAAATAATAACCTAATTTAAAAATTACCAAAGGATTTGAATAAACATTTCATGGAAAGAAGACATGTAAATGGACAACAGTTATATGGAAATGTGCTTGAGACCACGCATCATCAGGAAATGCAAATCAAAACCAAAATAAGCTATCACTTCACAAGACTATTTTTAAAGAAACAAAAGATATATATTGGGGAGGATGCAAAGAAATTGGAACCTTTGTACACAATGGGTGGTGTAGCTGCTATGGAAAACAATATGGAGGTTCCACAAAAAAATTAAAAAAAAAATAGAACTACCACCCAGCAATCCCACTTCTGGGTATATGTCTAAAAGAATTGAAATCGGGATCTTGAAGAGATATCTGCACTCCCCTGTTTGTTGCAGTATTATTCATAACAGCAAAAATATGGAAGCAACTCAAATGAACATCAGTAGGTAAATGGATAAAGAAAATGTGGTATATACATATAATAGGACACTATTATAGGAAATCTTGCCATTTGCAACAACATGGATGAAGCCGGAAAACATGCTAAGTGAAATAAGCCAGTCAGAGAGACACAAATTAAACATGATCCCAGTTCCATGAAGTAGCCAAAGGAGTCAAAGTCATAGAAGCAGAAAGTAAAATGGTGAGTGCCAAGGTCTATGAGAAGAAGGAAATAGGGACTTGGACTGATATAAGGTTCAGTTATGCAAGATAAAGACTTGCTTGAGATCTGCCAAACATCAGAGTGGTAAACGTGGTAGCTACAGTTAACAATACTGTACTGTGCACTTCAGATTTTGTTAAGAAGGTAGGTCTCATGGGGCATCTGGGTGGCTCAGTGGGTTAAAGCCTCTGCCTTTGGCTCAGGTCATGATCCCGGGGTCCTGGGATCAAGCCCCGCATCGCGCTCTCTGCTCAGCAGGGAGCCTGCTTCCCTTCCTCTCTCTCTGGCTGCCTCTCCGCCTACCTGTGATCTCTGTCAAATAAATAAATAAAATCTTAAAAAAAAAAAAAAAAAGAAGAAGATAGGTCTCATGTTAAGTGTCCCTGCCACAAAACCAAAACCAAAAACAAACAAACAAAAAAAAAAAATGAAGGGACAGAAGAAAATTTTTGGAGGCGAGAAGTATGTCTATTAGTTTGACTGTGGTGTTGGTTTCATGGGTGTGTGCCTGTCCCCAAACTCATTAAACTCTATTAACTCATTAAACTCTATAAATCAAATATGTGCAGATTTCATCCATCAGTTATATCTCAATAAAGCTGTTAAAAAATAAATAAAAAGAAAGTAAATCTGATACAGGAGGAAAAGGCCTCTAAAACATTATCTTTCATGTTCAAGGGAATTGGTTGCCTGGATGCCAGATGAGCTCAGAGGGATGAGAAAAGAGACAACTGACCAGTTTAATGAGAACAGAAACCTTAGCCCTGTGTTCCTAAGCAACGGGAGCTCATACATCTTCTTTCTGAAAGATAGGCAAAAAAAAAAAAAAAAAAAAAAGCCTCAGCAACCACTACCTTTGGTCTCTAGGTCTCTGTTAAAGTTTCAAAGTCATGGGGGAAAATGGTCTCTGCCCTTGTATCCATCGGGCTACATGGATAGCCTGATGTAGTTCCACTTGTAGGGTATTGTGTGGGCTGGGTATGGTGTGGAGGCAGCTGCCTCTGCCTATGACACAGGGGGACCTAACAAAGAGCAGGTTCTTAGAGGAAGTCATGTTTAAGATGGCATCTTAAAGATGAACTGGAGGTAATTATGTGGGACTGGCGATAACGAACTAACAGGCATGGCCCAAAGATCCAGTGCAACATTTCTCAGGCAGGAAAGAAATTGGTGTGTTTAATGAACGGGGTAGTTAATAAGGTGGCATGAGCAAAGAGGGAAGAAACTGGCAAGTACAAGGTGAGACCAGAGAGACCCGAAAAGTCAAGACATTCAGCATGACTGGAAGAATGAAAGAGCATATGATCCCTCAATGGGACATAGCAAGAGAAGAGCAGAGAATCTAGGAGAGAAATTTGAGAAGTACACTCGAACGGTGGCTAGAAAAGGTTGAGAAGGCAAATTATACTGACAAACCATCCAACAATATTAGGTTAATAACTGAGCAAATGTGTAACAAATACTAGTAGCAATTCTATGTGATGTGGAGTCACATACCACACTGAGAGCTGGTTGTTCTCCCATCTGGCTCTGATACAAGGTGCCTGGCTACTTCTTCACAATGTGGGACTGGCAACCCCCACTCACCTCCAAGGCAAGTGATGGCAGTATCAGAGGGCGGCTGGTGAATTTGCCCCTTTAACCACTAGGAGGTGATGTGGGTCTTTCTATAAAACACCTCTGGTGCAAAAGAGCAAGCTTAGACCCTCCTTGTTCTGGGAGGTGGTCACATACCTTGTGAGCTATTTAGCTGCTGGTTGGGAGAATGACTTGCAGATATCTCGGAATGCTGATAGGCTCTTGAAATAGTGGGATCCAATAGTATTTACCACATCCGGTTCCTATAGTTGTCCAAAGCACACATAATTGGTAAGTAAGCGAATAAATGCCATCATCATTTCTGTTCAATGTTGTGTTGAATCTCCAGCCAATGGAAGAAGAAAAATAGAGTGAGAATGAGAAAGGAAGAAGAAAAGGTGGTTATGGACAGATGACGAGTTTAATGGAAGACTCAGAGGCAACTGACTGGGTGGCTCAGTTGGTTAAGTGTCTGACTCTCGATTTTTTTTTAAATTTTCTTTTATGTTTTTATAAACATATAATGTATTATTAGCCCCAGGGGTACAGGTCTGTGAATCGCCAGGTTTACACACTTCACAGCACTCACCATGACTCTTGATTTTGACTCAGGTCATGATCTCATGGTCATAAGATCAAGTCCAGCATCAGGCTCCACACCCAGTGTGGAATCTGTTTAAGATTCTCTCTCTACCACCCCTCACCCCACTCTCTCTCTTTCTCTCTTTCTCAAAGAAAAAAAGAAAGACCTAA